CTGTATCCGTGTCAGAATGTGAGGGTAGCAATATGAGGGAACAATAAATTGTGGCAAAGTCGCGAGTATAGGGTTATAACAAATATAGGTAGCGGTTTTGGAGGATTATTGGAGATTATGTAGGAAAGTTTCGATCAATACGCTTGGTACGTTCCCATTTTATTCTTTATAGGTACATTAAGCCAGGTTTTGTTCGGAAATTTATCACCAATTACTTTATAAATATAGGCAGACGCGTAAGCGATACACCTGAAAAATAATCAGTTTGGAAGTAATTAATAGTCAAAGGGTTTAAGGGTCGACAGGGGTATAATTAGAAAGGACAAAAGATACGGAACACAATAAGAATAGTTAAACCGTGGCTTAATAGATTTTATATATTAAGTAATGGTATTAAAAGTTTTCAGTGCTTATATCAATGGTAGAAGAAAAGAGAATTTTAAGTAAATTCAATTCAGTTTTACAATTGAATGGCCGCCCCGAATAAGTTTGTAACCCACAAAATCTTTTTTTGGCAGGAAATGTTTTTTTACTTTGTAATTAAATTTAAGATCAATAATGTACTTTTTTCTACTCTCTTACTAGTAAATTGTATATTACCTACTATTTGGATGCTAAGTAAATACATCATAACTGATACTGACACGTAATGACTAGCACGTAATAAAAAAAATTACGCTTCAGTTTTATAAAAATGTGTAATATCACATAAGCCTCGTAAGTCAGTTGGTCGAGTTACCATGGAAACGAATTAACGTTTCCATGGTAACGTTATTTTGACAGATTAAAAATTATTAAACTGTCAGTGTAAATATAGTGGAAATTTAATTTTTATTTTTATAAACAAAATAATGGTAGAAAAAGTATAGTACACAACTTGAGTTGTAAGATTATTACATGCTTGTAAAATTACTGCGCTTGCCGCTACGCGGCTCGCGCGCAACTTTTTTACTCGCATGTAATAAGCTTCTTACAACTCTCGTTATGTAATATACTATTTTCTACTCTCTTACTAGTAAATTGTATATTACCTACTATTTGGATGCTAAGTAAATGCATCATAACAGATACTGACACGTAATGACTAGCACGTAATAAAAAAAATTACGCTTCAGTTTTATAAAAATGTGTAATATCACATAAGCCTTGTAAGTCAGTTGGTCGAGTTACCATGGAAACGAATTAACAGACGTTATTTTGACAGATTAAAAATTATTAATCTGTCACTGTAAATATAGTGATAATTTAAATTTTCTTTTTATAAACGAAAATAATGGTAGAAAAAGTATAGTACACAACTTGAGTTGTAAGCTTATTACATGCTTGTAAAATTACTGCGCTCGCCGCTCCGCGGCTCGCGCGCAACTTTTTTACTCGCATGTAATAAGCTTCTTACAACTCTCGTTATGTAATATACTATTTTCTTCAAACGTCAAATAATGACGACATTACTTATCTAACTTGATCCTGTCAAAGTTTGATGTCTCCGCCGGCAGCAGTTTTTTTTTCCATTTCTTTACGGCGGAGGGAAAAATGTTGTCATGGCAACAATATGAAACATGTCACAAAGCAACAATACAAATGTCATTAACAACAATTAAACATCATTTTTATTTATAGTAATATTAAAAGTACAATTAGTTATTGAGGCATTTTCAAAATTGAAACTGTGCCGACTCTTGATACGCATTGGTAATTGTTCGTGTAAAAGATCTAATTTGTCATGTTTTACTGTCTGGGATTTTGATAATTATTACATTTTTTTTATCTTCAATGTCCACAGTCTTCATTTTTATCATTTCGTCGCATCGACAGGCGCCGGTAACCCCAATTAACAAAACATTCTAAAATATTTTTATAATTTAGTAGAGTATACTACATGCTTTGCAATATAATTTTTTTTACCTTTAATCCTAAATACAACTTATCTGGCGCTTCAAACAAAAATTTATCAAACTCGTCTTTAGTGAAAACTTTAGACTTCTTTGCAGTATATCATTCGCTTGTTTTTTTCAGAAAGGCACGTAACTTTAAAAATTTGCTTATATCCACATTTTTTCTAATAACTAACTCGGATTTTATCATAGAGTATCGTGACCACATTGTAGAAGATTTCCATTTATTTTCATTTTCCATTATATTAAAATATGCCAGTAAAACGTCTTCGTTAACTTGTACTCCCCTTGTATCGCGCCACTCTTGGAAGTGCTTGTACGCTAAACGATACTTTACTCCGGACTTGGAGGGCCCCAAACTTGCTACTGCATCATTAGCCGCGGACTCAATTTCGTTTAGGTTTTCCATTTTCGCACTAAATTTGCGCTTGCGGTTGCAACAACAATAAGCTGCCTTTAATAATTGCAAACAACTGTCAAACAACTGTAACCAGGGAGACGCAAATCCCACCGACGACTTAATTATTTTAATTTCTAACATCTAGACGACTTTGATAGTTGTCACAGTTAATTTTGTGTCAAAATACCGTATGAATTGTACTATTTATGGTTGAAAATTGCTACGTTTGAAGAAAAAGTAGTATACTTTATTCGGCAAAGAAGCGACTTTCTTGACGTGCCCTCTATTACGCGCCTCACTTCGTTCGGTGCGTAATATCGGGCGCGTCAAGAAAAGTCATGCTTCTCCGTCTCATAAAGTATTATACTATTTACTATTGGATAAGGAAAACAAAAAGATTAATTCAATATAGCATAAACTTTTATATATAAAAAAAACTTAAGGCTATATACAGCGATAGAAAATCAGTGTAGTGGAAGAAGTTTGTAACATCACTGAAATTCGTCAAAATGCATTGGTTACAACACAATTCCCTATATTCTGGATTAGGAATATAAGCACACATATCCACTAAGTTCTTTTTTTTTGCTGACAAAGGATTCTTATACAACTAAGGAAGTCTGTCAATTGGAATGGCAAGTAATGGCAAAAAACGATTTTTAACTCCTCTTTCTTTTTTAGCCAAGGTCGCAATGCATTGTGGCTTTCTCGACATAATAGCTTTATAGGATTATCTTCATCTTCTTCTTATTCGACCGATGTGAGCCCGAACCACTTCCGCAGATTTTGGAGCCACGAGTGTCTTTTGCCTGGCCCTTACTGTCTATTTTCCCCTGGACAATCAATTGCATTAGACGGTACTTATCGTGTCTCAATATGTGTCCTAGATATTCAAGCTTTCTTTGTTTTATTGTGGTCACGATTTCTTTCTCCTTTCTGATTCTTTGGATTACCTCTGTGTTGGTGACATGTTCGGTCTAGGATATATGAAGAATGCGTCGGTACACCCACATTTCGAATGCACCCACTTATCCATAATTGTCGAGCAGGTTGTTACTTTTTGTTTATCAGCATCCATTTTGTCTTCTTGAAGTTGAGGCTCAGGCCGTATTCCTCACTAACTGAATAAACTCTTTCCATTACCTATTGTAATTCGTGTATGGTACTGGCAAGAATCACCGTGTCGTCGGCATATCTTATATTGTTCGTTAACTCGCCGTTTATTTTGCTCATTTGCATTTTCATACATTTTTTAAATATTTCCTCGGAATAAATATTGAATAGGAGTGAGGATAAGATACACCCTTGACGGACGCCTCTTTTGATCTACACACTTCCAGTTCGTTGCCAATTTTTGCTCTTGCTGTTTGACCCCAGTATAGGTTTGCCACAATTCGAATGTCCTTGTCGTCAATACCTGTCTTTCACAGAATATCTATCAATGGTTCATGATTGACATTGTCAAATGCTTTTCTAAAATCCACAAAGCACAAATACACGTCCTTATCAAGGTCTCTACACCGCTGTATAAGCACCTGGAGAGCGAAAACTGCTTCTCTAGTTCCAAGTGCTTTTCGAAAACCAAACTGCGATCTATCAATATTTGACTCACATTTATCATATATTCTTCTATGAATGATCTTAGTGAACGCCTTAGTGACATGATTAATCAAGCTATAAGCCGGTAGTCATCACAGATCTGAGCATTGGTTTCTTCGGGATCGTAATTAATGTTGACTGCAGCCAGTTCTCCGGGATTTTACCGCTATTATATATGTTGTTAAAAAGTACAACTAGATTATCAAGAAACTGTTTTTCTGATTTACATAGGATCTTTAATATTTCGCAGGGTACATTGTCCTGACCTGCTGACTTATTGTTTTTTAGTGCTGCAGTGGCATCTTCTATCTCCAATTTAAGGATTGAAGGTCCTGTTTCTCCTTCTCCATATAGGTGATCATCAGTCCTGTCACATGCCAATAATTTTTCTATGTATGATTTCCATGTTTCTAATATCGTTGATGGCTCCGAGATAAGATTTCCATCGCTATCTTTTATGCTGTTGGGTAATTTATTGAATTTCCTCTTGTTTGTCATTGATTTGATTTATTTTTGTGCATATTGTAACTGTCGTATTTCCGTTCGTATTGATATATTTCCTTGCATACGTTGGAAAACCATTTTTCTTTGGCTTCTCGAATTTTCGTTTTTATGATTTTGTGGATCTGCTGGTATTTTTTTGCATTTTTATTCATGAATTTTCGTCTTTCATCCATCATATCCATTATCTCAGCGGACATCCATTCTTTCTTCTTCATTCTGCTTTGATAGAGTCGCGCATGTTGTTTGGATTGCTTCCCTCGATTTATCACATCTCTTTATTTTGTTGTTTATGTTTTCTTTCCTAGTTGTTCTCGTACTGTTATGTCGGTTTCTGGGTTAGTGAGTTTCTTAATATCAATTGTGTTTAAATTAGATCTTTTCACGAGTCGTTTTACTTTCGAGTCTAAGGTACAAATAAAATAGCTACAAACATATTTTTTGTAACAATAAAACACTGAAAACTTTGTTTTCGGTGTTTTATTGCTACATAAAATTAATTTCCATCAAGTCGAATCCAATAAACATATTTTTAATTAACTTAATCGTCTTTTTCTGTTATAAACCAATCAAAAAACTATGTATTTATAACTACTATATTTCAGATATGATGGCGAATGGGATGGCAACAATCTAAGAGAAGGTCTTGGTCAGCTTACCGACGGCAAGTTTGGCCACGATGATTTCAAAACCGATTTCTACGACGGGCAGACTTGGGTCGGATGGAAAAATGAAACCAGACACAACAAGCCCGTCGAAATAGTAGCTGAATTTGATAGGGTTAGGGAATTTTCCGCTGTACATATTTATTGCAATAATCAATTTACCAAAGAAGTACAGGTAAGAAAAAATTGAACATTTTTGTATTTCTGTAAGTATAAGTTTTGATTGAAAAAACTAAAAAAACTATTATGGTTCTTAAAGTTCCTTGTTTTATCAGAGGTTGGAAATCGTTATAGAATTTCATTAATTAACACAATTATTAACACAATCTCTAAAGAAAACTAAGATGTAGAGAAAGCAGTAGACTATTTAACAACAGTTTTACAAACAACAGGATGGCAAGCAACACCACAGCGCCAAAGAAGTGTGCAAGAAAACCATAATATCCCCCTCCATATAAGAGTACTTCTTCTTCTTCCTCTTTATGAGCAATTCTGCTTGTTCATTGGCGGATTAATATCTCTATAGAAGATTGTCGATGTCTTTTCATTTTCTCTACATTTTCTTCTAATGATTTCACTTCTCTTTCGATCTTTCAGCGTATTTCCTGTAATTCTTCTAGGTACTCTTATCTCTGCTGTTTCCAGTAGCTTTTGCATTGTGGCTGTTGCGGGTCTTGTTTCTGAGGCATATGTCATTATTGGTCTTACACTGGCTTTATAAATTCTTGACTTCATCTCAGTATTAATGTGTCTGTTTCGCCATATATCGTCAGACTATTTGCTTTTCGTACTTGATCTCTCATATCTTTGTCCAGGTCTCCATAGCTAGACGGTATAATTCTCAGCTGACATCTCCACCGACCACAATCTTCTTCTTGCAACAATTTGGATAGAATTTAAAAGAACAAAAAGAAATAAGCAAATAATAGCTATTAACCCAGATAAGCTTAAAGATGAATCCACTAGTAATAAAATACGGGAAGAAATACATAGACACTTAAGTAACAGAACAGTACAATCGACACAAACTACCGAGGAAGACTGGCACTATATTGAGAAAACACTTACAAGAGTAACAGAAGACTACCTCAAACAAGATACACGAAAAAAGAACAAACCATGGATGACAGAAGAAATTCTAAACATGATGGACGAAAGAAGAAAATACAGTGGTAAAAATGAAACAACATACAAGCAAATACACAAGAATATCAGAATAAAGATCCAACAATCCAAAGAAACCTGGCTAAGTGAAAGATGCCAAGAAATTGAAGAGTTGGAACAAAGACATGATACTTTCAATCCACATAAAAAAGTAAAAGAAGCCGCTGGAATATTTAAACAAACTCCTACGTCTTTCGTCGAAGACAAACATGGGAACCCGCTACTGAACATAGAAGATCAAATAGGTAGATGAAGAGAATACGTTAAAAAGATGTTTCAAGACCGAGAGAAGACAAACATTTACATGCAGGAGGCATCGACTAGACCTTATATCACAAAGCAAGAAATTATCAAAGCGGCAAATCAGATAAAGAACGGAAAAGCTGTTGGGGAAGATAATATCTCAATTGAAATAATAAAGATATTACTAGACGAACACATCGAAGTAATGGAAGATATATTTAACAAAATATACGAAACAGACATATTACCAAATGATTGGCTGACATCCGTGATTATACCACTACCAAAGAAGAGAAACTCCAAGAAATGTGAAGACCATAGGATTATTAGCCTGATGAATCATATGTTGAAGCTTTTTCTACGAGTAATACACAATAGAGTATACAATAAACTAAACGAACACACTGGTCAAACTCAATTTGGTTTTAAGAATGGGTTCGAAACAAGAGAAGCACTTTTTTCAATACGTGTGCTAGTTGAAAGATGTAGAGATGTCGATTCTGATGTATACATGTGTTTTATAGACTTTCAGTCATGTAATATCGACGATAAAGACTTAAGGATCATTTCAAACCTCTACCAAGAACAAAAGGCTAAAATCAGAATAAAAAACGACATCTGGTAAAATCAATATCGAGAAGGAAGTAAGACAGGGATGTGTCCTATCACCTTTGCTGTTCAATGTTTACTCTGAGAAGATATTTCAGAAAGCTTTGGAAGGCACCTCGGATGGTATAATTATAAACGGGCAATGTATAAATAACCTGCGATATGCTGATGACACTATCATACTGGCAGATAATGCTGAAGCTCTGCAACGCTTAATGGACCGAGTAACGAAAGCCTGTAGAGAATTTGGAATAAAATTGAATACAAAGAAGACAAAAACGATGATCATCAGCAAGCACCAAAACAGAAGGGTGAAGGTCAATGTCGACGGAACAGATCTGGAAAGAGTAACAAGAACAACGTACCTTGGAAGTAATCTTGATGAAACTTGGGATCACTCACTAGAGATAAGAATACGCCTAGAAAAGACACGTACAATGTTTTACAAAATGCAAAAAATTCTATGCAACCGCCAGCTGGGAATCTCATTGAGAACTAGAATACTTAAGTGCTATGTTTTCTCCACCTTTCTCTATGGTGTTGAAGCCTGGACAATGACAGAAGCAACACAAAAAGCAACAAAGAAGCAACAAAGAAGCAACACAAAAGTCTTGCGGAGGATGAATAAGGAAAGAGAGCTTATGCTTATAATAAAAGAACGGAAAACACAATATTTTGGTCACATCATAAGAAATCAAAAGTATGAACTGCTCCAACTTATAATCGAAGGCAAATTCAATAGCAAAAGAGGACCAGGAAGAAGGCGCAACTCTTGGCTTAAAAACCTACGTCAATGGACGAACATGACCTCCATAGAACTATTCAGGGCTGCTACAAATAAGATTAAATGGGCAAATGTAATGGCCAACGTCCTTAAGGATCAGGCACCGTAAGAAGAAGAAGATAATTCTCAGGTATTTTATTTTTATTACTCGTTCAATACTTCTTCTTCTTAAACTGCCTATCCGTTACGGATGTTGGCGATCATCACGGCTATCTTTACTTTGTTTACTGCAGCGCGGAGCAGTTCAATGGTAGTCGTGTTATTCCACTTTCGTAAATTTTGAAGCCAGTAAATGCGTCTTCTTCCCGGTCCTCTCTTACCATTTACCTTCCCTTGGAGAATCAGCTGGAGAAGCTGTTCAATGTTCATTCATCAGCGTTCAATACTGATGCCATCAATTTATATTTTACGTCTGGTTGGTTGTTTGCTGACTACTATTTTTTTAGTTTTCTGAGATGGGATTATCATATTAAATTCTTTTGCTCTTATGTTAAATCTGTGGACCAGTCTTTGCAGACTATCTTCATCTTGGACTATCAATATTGCGTTGTCTGCGTAATAGAGTATTTTTATTTCTTTGTTTCCCATTCTGCATCCTCTTCATTTGTTAACGCTTTTGAAGATTTTATCCATCATCAAATTGAAGAGCATGGGGCTCAATGAATCCTTGTCTTATTCCGCTGCATATTTCTATAGGTTCTGTAAGTTGTCAATGTATTCTGACTTCCATTTTGTTATTTTTGTAGATGTTTTCGATAGTTTTTATATTTAGGGGAATTTGGAGCAGAAGGACAATAAGAACCTACCTTAACAGGATAGACTAAATAGAGCATTATATGAAGAAAAATGACTCTTTTCAGTTTTATGTTTCGAACCTTTCACATGAAGACCGCTCTATATGGAAAGCTACAAAAAAACGACTAAAAATATCAAATTCACTTTTAAGAAAAACAGATATGACCTGGGCCCGCTCAAACGCAGAAAAAACAACAGTCGCAGAGCATCTTGCAACTGTATTCGCAGCGGCAGATACTAATAATAATAAAGATGATGATATAAGAATTTTATCTCGTAACTCCATGCCAACTATCTTTTCCTCTGACAATATTTATAATACTGATAACAATAGAAGAACACATCAAAGGAAAATACAAGGACACTCGCTTCTCGTCTAGGGTTTCGTCAAGACATTTATTTTAACAGACAAACAATACTGGACCACGGATAAGGTATTGTTCTTCTTCTTCAAGTGCCATCTTCGTTTCGAAGGTTGGCGATCACCAGGGCTATACGTATTTTCGAAACTGCTGACCGAAACAATTCGTTGTTGCTACAGTTATACCATTCTCGTAGATTCTTTAGCCAGGAGTTTCGTCTTCCTCCTATGGACCTTTTTCCTGCTATTTTCCCTTGCATAATTATTCGAAACAGGTCATATCTTTCGCCTCTTGTAATGTGTCCCAAGTATTGCAGATTTCGTTTTTTGAACGTAAATATGACTTCCTTTGGTAGTAAGGTATTGTTAAATATAGGATAAACAAAGGGTACAAGTCTAACCCTATACACGCTCATAAAAGTTTTCATGAACGAGTACCGAATTTGTAAAGCTATGCATATGTCACAAAAATTCTATAATTAAATTATATATTGTATTATATGTTCTTTAACAATATAAAGAACCTATGGCTAACAAGGACTGTATATTACAGCCATCTACTTTTAAATTGCATTAACGATACATTGATAGGCGAGGCCACAACTGCTTCTCGCTGCTTTTATAATTTGTGATGCGTGCAAATCGGTATTTGATTCTCGCAGCTGTAAAGTCATATTACCCATGCATTACGTTATGCTTCTGGCGGCAGTGAAAGTGTTAAGGACATAATAAAGAATCACTCAATAAAATATCAAAATCGCACCGCTGATCAAAACAAAGAACTAATAAAGATTTTATTCTCCCAGCCACTTGCTGAAAGAATATTGAAGAGGGTTTGGCCAGAAGACCTATCGCAATAATATTTAAAGAACCGTCACTGGATGGTACTTAACTTACGTTAATTTACTTACATACTTACTTATTACTCTGTGTATATACTGTGTGTATGGAAGTATGGAACAAATTCTTTTTTCGCTAAACAGAACATTTTAAGAAATAATTCTGAAACATGTCGATTTTTGATTTTAATTTACCGTATTTTAAAATAATATTCTAATATACAGGGTGAATTACTTTAGAGTAATGACGTCACCGTCATTTTTTTTTTAATGGAACACCCACATTTTGTCTAAATTTTCGGATTGCTCTAGCTGAGCTGATTCCAAATATGTATCACATGTTGATTCAAATTGGTACAGGGTGGACAAAAATACAATAGTTTTGTGTGTGTTCATAAAGTAACGCGTTAGTTAAATTACCAATATCAAAAATACTTATTGTCTAGCGGACAGAATGTGAAAGAAATTATTTCTTATTAACTTAAAAGAAACATAGTAGGCTATGGTTTTGTTAAATGTCATTCCTTGTTTAGTAATTTATTGATGTTCAGTAACAGTTTAGTACTACAATATTTTTGGTATTTGTGAATGTTTTGATTATTATTCTTCTTCTTCTAGTTCCATGACCGTTATCGATCGTTGGATTATCATGTTGGCTACCATATTCGCTATCGTGACTTTATTGACAGCAGCTCTAAATAACGATGTAGTTGATTTTCCATACCATTGCCTTAGATTTTTCAGCCATGAAGTTCTTCGTCTACCAGGATCACGATTACCTTGGATCTTTCCCTGAATGGTCAGATGTAAAAGATCATATTTTTCAGGGTGTCTCATAATGTGACCGAAGTATTCCAGCTTGCGTTTCTTTATTATATTGACCAGTTCTGTTGTTTAGCTCAGCCGTCTAAGGACCTCCTCATTTCTAACTCTGTCGACCCAGCTTATTTTGAGTAGTCGTCTGTATACCCACATCTCAAAGGCTGTCAACCGTTTAAGCATAGCCTCAGTTAGATTCCACGCTTCCACTCCAGCAGGACAGGAAAGATGTAGCAAGATGTCATACGAACTCTAAGGTCAGTGCTAAGATCGTGACTGCAAAGTACGTTTCTCATTTTTACAAAGGCAGCTCGGACTTGTTCTATTCGGCTTTTAATTTCTGCAGTTGGATCTCAGCTCTCATTGATATTACTGCCGAGATACACGAGTTTCTCTACTCTGTCCAGTGTGGCATCTCCGACTTTTATACCATCATCCTGTATATAATTTTGTTTGCTAACTATCATATAGTTAGTTTTCTTAACGTTGTTGACGGTTACTCCATTCACAATAATACTTTCGGTTGTCTCCATTAAGGTTTCCTTAAATATTTCCTCCGAATATAAGTTAAAAAGTAAAGGCGACAATATACAGCCTTGTCTCACTCCTCTTTTTATATTTATTTCATCCGACAGTTCTTGTTCAACCTTTATTCCTGTCACTTGATGCCAGTATAGATTTGTAATTATTTGTAGATCTTTATCATCCAATCCAGCTGTTTCCAATATTTCTAGCATTTTGTTATGTCGAACTTTGTCAAAAGCTTTTTCAAAATCGATTGCACAAATGTACACATTTTGATTTATATCTCTGCATCTCTCTACTAGCACCTGTATACTAAACAAGGCTTCACTTGTACCCAAGCCACTCCTAAACCCAAACTTCTTCTGTCATCCACCCTTTTTTTTTCTGGCTTTTAGCATACTCAATTTTGTTTCTTGAACAGTCCTTAAGATGTCTTTAATTCTCGTCCAGTTTTCCTCAGTACTTTCTTCTTTGCTTGATGTTAACTTCATTTTTTGTTCTAATTACTAGTTATTCCTTGTTTTAAAGTATCATTTAGCATCGTTTCTCTATCAATAGTAACTGTTTGCTTATTCGTCCTTGCAACTCTTTTTAATCTCAGTCTTATTTTTCCTACTAAAATATTGCTACTAAAAAATTTTTAATTATTGCTTAGATTTATTTTGAAGTAGAAATATAAAGTTAATAAGTAGTTAAATGTAAAGCAAAGAATTGAAATACTTATGATGATTGGGTATGGAGACAGATCGCGAACTCAGATGAAAGTGTGCAATATGTTTAATGATAAGTATCCAGAAAGACCTATAACGCGTTCAACAGTCAGTAAGAGTGAAAAGAAACTTCGAGAAACTGGTACGGTTGAAAATGCACGAAAATCAGGTCGTCCCTCTGCAAATGCTGATACAGCATGAAATGTTTTATACTTAGTTTTGAAGAAGATGCGCACACTTCTGTGCGTAAAGTTAGTCGCGATATCGGTGTTAGCAAAACAACGGTACACAAACTATTAAAGCTTGAAAAATGGCATCCTTATAAAATCAAACTAGTGCAGGAATTAAACGAAGATGATCCGAATAGAAGAATACAATTTTGCGAAGCAATGGTGGATAACTGCCACCGAGATCCTCTCTTGATACAAAACATTATTTTTTCTGATAAGGCCACTGTTACGTTAAATGGCGAGGTTAACCGTCAGAATTGTAGATACTGGGCAAAAGGTAAATGTATGGGCTGCAATTGTAAGAAATTGAATCATCGGACCCTACTTTATCAAAGGTAATTTAACGGGGCAACGTACCTTGAGTTTTTGATTGGGTATCTCATACCTACTTTACGTAATTTGTTTCCCAGCAGACGTAATCCTGGAGGTTTTAATGAAAGTTTATGGTTGCAACAGGATGGTGCACCTCCACATTATGCTGTAGATGTTAAAAGGTACCTAGATGAAATTTTTCCCAACAAGTGGATTGGTAGACGTGGACCTATTGAATGGCCAGCGAGGTCACCGGATTTCAATCCTTTGGATTATTTTATGTGAGGCCATCTGAAGAATGTTGTATATCAAAGGAAACCAGCAAATATTCAAGAAGTACAACAGAAAATTCGGATAGCAATAAACAATATTTCTCAAGACACAATAAACAAGGTTCAAGAATTTGTACAACGTTTGGGTTACTGTCAAATACATTAGGGGCTGCAGTTCGAACATTTATAAACTAATGTATTTCATCATATTCTGTCCTCTAGACAATAAGTATTTTTGATAATATTGTTAATTTAACTAACGCGTTACTTTATGAACGCACACAAAACTATTGTATTTTTGTCCACCCTGTACCAATTTGAATCAACATGTGATACCTTTTTGGGAATCAGCTTAGCTAGACTAATCCGAAAATTAAGACAAAATGGAGGTGTTCCATTTAAAAAAAAATGACTTTGACGTCATTACTCGAAAGTTGTAACACACACAAAACTATTGTATTTTTGTCCACCCTGTACCAATCTGAATCAACATGTGATACATTTTTGGAATCAGCTTAGCTAGAGTAATCCGAAAATTGAGACAAAATGGAGGTGTTTCATTAAAAAAAATGACTTTGACGTCATTACTCGAAAGTTGTAGAAAATTATTTACATTTTCTACAATAGTTTATTTATTATTCTAATAATTATTATTATTCCACTAAATTGTCTCAACTACCCTTAATATCACCTCGTTGCTGCCTTCTCAAATAGAAGGACGTAAGTCAATTCATTTTTTCAGTTTCTCAAGTAGAAACAAGATACTTCTGTTCTCGCGCTTCTCAAATAGAAGCAGTTTTTGAATAACTTATTTTATTAAATAGTTAATTAAACTAAATTCAGTGTTTGTGTATCAAATATGTAAGTACCTGAAATATTTTTTTCTTACAGAAGATAATCTACGGTTTCGTGCCAACTTTTCATGAATGCCGGTCCGACAAATTACAGGGTTGCCGGATATTCAATAATCTACATATAAACTTTATTGTTCTATATTTTCATATAAACAGTTGTGCGTTTAAGAACATTGTACATGAACATTTATATTTTATTATTATAAAAAGGGTGATTTGTTGGCGATTCCGCTTTTTTATTTATTTTTGTAAATAATGTAATAAAAATATTTCTAGCTTTTATTCTTATTTTAATTATTTCATTTTCTATTTTACTACTCACTACATAATTACATATCCGCAAGTTTGCGACCTATGGGTCGCTGGTCCTTCGAGGTTTAATTTATTTTTTATCTACCAAATGTAGGAAGGTGAGATCATAATTTTTCAAATACTTATTTACTTTTAATTTATCGAACCAGCTACCTCATCCTTTCCCCTACACAAGTAATTCACCCTGTATATTAGAATATTATTTTAAAATACGGTAAATTAAAATTAAAAATCAACGTGTTTTAGGATTATTCCTTAAAATGCTCTGTTTAGCTAAAAAAGAATTTGTTCCATACCTTACGGACCCAGTGTAGACTAGATTGTAAACATGCAATGTAACAATAAAAAAAATTCACTAATTAATGCCTTAAATTCATTCATTTTTATCTTTACAGCATCTAACTATTGTTTGTTATTTTTTTAGGTATTTTCTATGGCCAAAGTTGTTTTTAGCATAGGAGGCAAACATTTCGGCAGAGGTGAGCCAATCACGTACGAATACATCGAAGACAGAATATTCGAAAATTCCAGAAACGTATCTATAAAACTGCACCACAGAGTCGGCAGATTCGTCAAACTGCGCCTATATTTTGCATCAAAATGGATTTTAATTAGCGAGATTTCTTTTGATTCTGTTGTCGCCCATGGAAACTACAGCGTCGAACCAGAGCCCAGCACAGTGGCACCGGAAGTGGATCTGCCTGATGGCGACAAACACGATCACAAAATTGAAATTCCGGTCCCCAATGAAATCAATGAACCGACGATAATAGCTATTATACTGATAGGTGCGTATTATGGTTTGAAGGTAATAGTGTAATCCATAAAGAGGCTTTTCAATACCTAATGGGAATGGTAGATTTATGGAAATATGAAAAGACTCACTGTTAATAACGAATATGCATTTTTCTAGTGATAGTTAATGTTGATACACTGCTAAAGTAATTTAGGGAGATTTTTAAAACACATAAATTTTAAATTTATAATGAACTTCTAAATATTTAGTAAATTTATTTTTGCTTTATAGACAAAATTATAAAAGGGTTGAAGTTATTTTCTTGCAGCATGTTTTTCACTGAATATTATTTTTTAAATGGGATTAAAGCAGAATTTTTAGACTTTGGACAATCCGAAAATCGTTTTTAAAAATTTATAAGTTAAAGTTAGGGTAAAATACCCAGTAGTTAACCTTTTAGAGAGAATCTTAATTTGTTTCAATTGCATATAAAAAAAATAAAGGCGTTAAATAAAAACAAATATTTTTATTAGAAACTTTGTTTATTAAATTATCGAAATAGATTAACTAAATGTTATTATTATGTTATAATTATAAGAAAAAACAACACTCACAACAAAATATGGCACTTTTCACCTGTAGTAAGCGTCATTTCTCCGCAAGTCAGCCATGTCTACCCTGTAGTCCGCCACTTACTTATTCTTGCATGTTGCACATCATAAATCCTTATTATATACATACTCATAAACGTTACCAGCAAATTCAGTACATTTTAGATCAGGGTTGTCCAACTGGCGGCTATTTGTTGTGACCAACGTAAGATTTTCGAAAAGCATATATTTTTTTTAAATACTGCAACTGTGAAAAAAGATTTTTTAATTTATTTTATATTTTATGGTTTAGCAGTGTTTTTACATCACAAGTACTGTACCGCGTGCCGCTTCGCGGACGTGTAACGAACACAACCGTCCTCCACCACTATGAGAACTGTACTGATTACTGCGCATCACAGTTCACGCAGGCCACACCTCCCACTGCTAACCATCCGTCGCCAGCCGCCATCGTGCCAGTGTGCTACTGACACGTAGGTTAGTCGGCTAATCTATTACGTTGCTAGTGAACAGTGAACTTGATTAATTCTTTGTCTTGATTCCTCTTATACAATAATGAGTGTAAAACCAGTAAAACGGAAAATTGATAGTGAGAACAGAATTTACAAAGAAAGTTGGGAGAGTGATCACTTGATTGCTAACAATAATGGAAAGTTGCAGTGGTTAGTGTGCATGAATGTCGTTTCAGTGCCTAAAGAATATAATGTGAGAAGACATTACACAACAGTGCAGGAAAATAAGTATGCTACGTACACAAATGAAAGTCGGCGCGCCCTAGTTGCAGATTTGAAGAAAAAGCTTAAACAGCAAACTGGTATGTTCAGTATTCCGGAAAAGTAAAATATTACACTCTCAAACGCATTCTTTGCATGCCTCTTATGCTGTGTCGCTTGAGCTGGCAAAGGCAAAAAAACCTTTCACTGATGACAATTTGATAAAAAAATGTGCTGTTGAAATGGCCAAAGCTTTCGGTGATTCTAAAATGGCGGAGAAATTTGAATCAGTGCCACTTTCACATCAAACCATACAAAGAAGGATTGTTGCTATGGGTGAGTAAGTAGAAAAATCTATGCTCAGCCTGGTTAAGAAAAGTTCATATTTCTCACTTTGTTTGGATGAACGCACTGATCAAACCGATGTTAGTCAGCTGTTAATATTTGTGCGCACTACTTTTGACGATTTTACCAGTAAAGAGGAGTTATTTGATATTTGTCCTCTTTATGGAACAACAAAAGGAAAAGAGATCTATGAGGCTGTGAAGAAAACAGTTGACAGAATTGGAGGCTTTGATAAATGTTTAGCCATAGAAACAGACGGGGCCCCATTAATGACAGGTAAAAAAATTAGATTAGTGGGTCTGCTTCGAGAGAATGGTGTCACTTGCCCAACAATTCATTATATTATACATCAGGGAGCTTTATGTGGAAAATCAGTCAAGGAAGATCAAGTTTTCCAAACCGTGATTAAGATTATAAATATGATTAGAGGTGGAAATCGATCTCTTTTACACAGGCAACTTAGCAGATTTTAGTGAAAACAGAGGCTAAGCATGGAGACTTGCTAATGTACAACCATGTCAGGTGGCTGAGTGCAGGAAAGTGCATGGAACGATTTTTTGTCATAAGAAAGGAAATCCCTGCATTCCTCAACAAATACTGGAAGAGAAGTTTAAGGATCCAGAATTCTTAAGACAGTTAGCTTTTATAACAGATCTAACTAATCATCTTAACATGTTAAACTTGAGTCTTCAAGGAAGAAACCAGATGGTTTCAGATTTGATCGGAATGATAAACGGATTATGGAATAAGCTGAACGTGTTTAAACGTAATTTGGAAAAAAACAATCTGACACATTTCAATAGCTGTCTACAAATAGCAGAAGAATTCAACGGTGAGGAAAATATTGAGTTTTCATCACCTGAATTTTTCAAATAACTGTCAAAGAAGAAATTCCCAAACCTGCGAGATTTTGGACTGAAAATGACATCAATGTTCGGAAGCGCATATACATGTGAAAGTGCCTTTTCCTCCATGAAATACATAAAAAATAAAAACAGAAGCAACCTTACCGATTCTTCCTTACATCTTCTTATAAGAGTGTCGACAACTGAACTGGAGGTGGACATTTCTTCATTGGTGGATGAAGCCAATCGACCACAGTCCTCACACTAATTGGTACATCTTTTTCGTTGCTTTTGCAATGTTTGTCTTGATTATTGAAAAGTGTTTTTCAATAAATTTTCCGTTTATAAAATAATATATAAATAATTGTTTTAATTATTTTTATACCTCACTTTATTTTGTTATTACTTGTAACAAAATTATTATATGGCCCGCGACAACATCAAAGGTTTTAGTTTTGGCCTTTGAGGCATTGCAAGTTGGACACCCCTGTTTTAGATGATACCACGCAGGACAATTGCTACAACCAATATTCTTTAATTCGTTTATTTCTGTGTCAGTAGTCAGTTCCTCTTCATACGAGTCACACTTTATTCTGCTCATTGTGCAGGTGCACGTTGTAATATTCTTCCTCTTTTTATTGTTTTTGGACTTCAAAATAGCTTTTCAGCTCTTCTTTTTGTAATTCTTCTTTTTTTGTCTTTCTGTCTTCTTCTTTTCCTTAGCTTCCAGTCTTTTAATTTTTTTAATCAATATATCTTTCTTTTTCTGCTCCTTAATTTCTTCCTTCTGCTTCTCAAACTGTTTCCACTCTTCGGAGAAAATGGCTCCTATTCTATTAATGGACATTTTCTTTTTTATGGTTTTAGATGTACTAGGTAAAGTTAAATACTTACCTAAAACTGGTGATAGATTTGTTGATTTGACGACAACATTGGACAAGATATTTATTTTTATTTTTGATAATTTTTGACTGTCATTTAGTTTGTTTTGCATATTTTGTGTATTATTTTCTTGCCAAATATCATTTTCAGTGAGGTTTGGGTTCCTGTACTCTTTATTTGTTATTTTTATATTCTCGGTAATATAGTTATGTGTACGAGACGCATAACCAAAGCCTCGATGGTTAGCGGACTGTATACTTAATTAACTAAAATGAGACTACACGAAACTTACTGTAGTTACACCTTTATTTAATTTAGATTATTCACCATTCACTTATGATAATTAGATGGCTATAAGCCAGAGCTAATATAATATTTACTATTTCAATAATAATAATAATTAGATGGCAACAAGCCAGAGCTAATGTATGTTTTTACCTTGTATAAAACAACAACTAAAAATGGCGTTATGCGTATTATTATGCGACTGGTGCAGAATGTCACTTGTCACTTGCTGGGGATGCAGGGAAAAACACTGTCACTTCCGACCGAACACACCCGAACCTACAAAGCGTCCCAACAATTTTGCATAGGTGTTGGATATTGTTTCCAACATTACGGTTTTCTAAAAGTTCGTCTTCCATTCGATTTTATTTATCATCCTCCATCTTATCTTGGGTAATGTTTGTTTCTGTTTCAGATTTCTTAGATGATATTCTCAACTTATCATGTGTCGGAGGTTCTTTGTGACAGTTCAGATCTTCTGGCGTATTTGCATTAAATTCAGCAACTTCTGATTGCTGTGTTTCCTGGACTTCATGATTTTGTGGTATGACTAAGTCATTTAAGTCACTTTTTGTCAAATTATTCAAATTATTTTCCAGTGTATAATCACCTATATTTGGTTAACTTATATCAAAAACTTGAATTGGTTGTGACATCATGTCTGATTGATTATGTGTATGATTAGGAAAACTTATGTCATTTGTTTGTGCCTGGCTAATTGAGTTTTCTGTTGAATTGAGACTTTCAAAGACTTTGTGTTTAAAACATCAACAACGATTTTTGAGTCAACTCCAGCATTTTTCAACTCGTTACTAAGCTGATTAATTATCTTGATGGCGATGTTCAAATGCCTGTTCTTCATTTTCTTGTCTGGAGATTTAACATTCTTAGTGGAATTCTGATGTTTTTCAATAATATTTTGTACACATTTTGAGTAATTCAAGGCATTTGGATTGTATGAATATAAGCCACACTTGCGAAAACTATTGCTGTTAATAACAGGCAATTTTTTTGTTCTAAAACTTTTTTGAGCAATGAACAAATAGTTGATTTGCTTAAAATATTATTAACATTTTCAGGACGAGTTATCCATTCGTATACTGTATCTTTCTATTGTGACTTTAAAGGTTTGAATAGACCAAAATCTGCAGTCTGAATCAAATGTGTCGCATTTGGTGCAAGTGCGTAAAGGATAATACCGTTTTCGTAACAATATTCACTGAGCCGCATTGTTAAGTGGCTTTTATGTCCATCAACAAAAACGATAACTGGCTTTTTGATGTTTTCTTCCACCCATGTGTTCAAACCTTAACAATATAATCATAAAATATATCTGATTTCATCCATCTGGTTTCTGATTTTCCTAACGACCATCCAGCAGGCATACTGTTTATAGCATCTTTTGGTGGTCTTGGTGGTAGTGGTCTAGATAGTGGACACTACACAAGGAGGCAAAATCTTCCCAGAAGCTGATATAAATACAAGAACTGTAACAGCCTCGTTTTCTTGGCCTTTTACAATTTTGTAGACAATCTTGTATCCTCTAGGTGCTATAACTTTTCCTGATTTGGGACATATATAGAAACTGGTTTCATCACCATTAAAAATATGATCTAGGTCAGTCAAAATATCAGTCGCGTTTATATCTTCTAAGTGCTACAGGAATTCAATAAACCTGGGGATAAAATATCTGGGAATTACACTGTCTAGCTATGGAGACCTGGAAAAGGAGGGAGAGATCAAATACAAAAAGCAAATAAACTGGCAAGATGCCTTAATAACACTATATGGCGAAGCAGGCACATTAACACTGAGATGAAATCAATAATTCATAAAGCCAGTGTAAGACCAATAATGACATATGCCTCAGAAATAAGACCCGCAACAGCCACAATGCAAAGGCTACTGGAAACAGCAGAGATGAGAGTACTTTTTGGTAGCCTCCTTGTTGTTTTTTCTATCTTAATATAATATTTATCCCTTTTCTTTTTATTTAATGCATCACAAGCTCCAATCAGACCAACAACAACAGAGGGATGATGTTAGCAATGCCGCCATGTTTGTTTTTTCATCATTGTACAAACATTTTATAGAACGACATTCTCTGCTATCGAAATGCGTTGCAGAGATCGCCACCTACTACAGAGATAGTAGTAGTCTTTGTGGGGAGGTGGCGCTAGAGTTTTCGTTGCGGACAGACAGACAGACATAATAAGCAAATTATCTACATGTGTTATAAGTTTAGTAAAGTTTCCGTTAACAAATTTTCAGCTTCACACAATCTCGTACAGAGTTTTTAAATGTCTATTGAATTGTCCGAAAAATTTATTAGTATTTATTGATAGTTTTAGATAAATAACTTATAAACACAACAGTAATATTTTTAATTTTATTTTTTAGGGCTTATCCTTGCAATACTTATTATCGGAGCTTTCGTTTTGCTCATATATAGATTTAGAAATAGGAAATTCTTCCGAAGTCCTAATTCGTCTAATATCGGCTTCCCCAACAATACCATACCTCACCTTCAACCAGAATCTGTGTATGGTAAGTGTAAGTATACCAATATTTTTATATTATATTTTTACCTTTGATCTATGTTTCTTTATTTATAGCGTACAGTAATTCATGTTCGATATTGTAATGAGAATTAAATTCACAACACCATTATTTTTTTTAAAAGTTGTACATAATTACAACTCCATCACAATAACCGGCCTATATGTACATAGGGAATAATAAAGAAACACTTGTAGGCATTCTTTATAATCCGGTTTTATAGTTAACCTCTACACCTTAGGTAACCAACAATACCCACGAAAGTAGGCCGGATTGCATAAAAACATCATATCATAACAGGACTTAAAAATTGCGCTGAAATAAATTCCTTGTAAGCTTTTTAAACAAAGAGCTTGAAAGAACCAATAGATACATAAGGACTACAATAAAAAAAATAATGGATCAAAACACTAAAAAATTCTTTATTTCTGGATTATAATTTTTATTATAAATTATTAGTGATTTTCTTTAAAGATTTTTAAAACATTTAAGTAACTCCCCTTTTTTTAATTTATTAGGTCTGAGTGAAAAAGGTAGCTCCATCGAAGCATACGGAGTAACAGAAATAGACGACTACCGAATGAGTCACGGAACAATGAAGTCCAGTCTTAGATCTACCCTTCCACTGCCTCACCCTGGCAATATATCCGAAAGCAACGAATATCAAGAACCATATCAAGCGATGAAATTTGCTCCTTACTACAGCTATAGTCCTGTGGTCATGGAAATGCAGAATACGATCCAAGGAACGATGAAGAAATACCCTATTGCGGCAGGTAAGAGTGAGTTTGCCGCTGTTTGGGCCGTCGAGTCTATTTTATTATAATTGCAAATGTTATACTCATTTTTTAGATAACTACGACTATGTTATCCCAGAAGGAAGCAATCTACCACTACTTTCAGAGTCAGAGCAAAACACTTTACCTGTTTCAAGAAGCAGGCTCAACAGTGTAACATCGAAAGGGCCACGAATGTCCATAAAAAGTACTCATAACGACGATAGAGGAAGACAGGTACGATTTATTTTCAAATTTTAATATTTTTTATTTGATTTGCATTGTTTAAGGTAATTTTTTCATATCATAAAGCATTTTTTGATTCGTGAATTTTCTGTTTTAATTGATATTTATTAATGTTATGATTTACTTGTAGTCTCCAACCCAACAAGAAGCTATTACAGCATTAAGAAAAAGATTGGATGGTACTACGATTATGGAATTCCCACGGCATCGACTCAGAATGTTGTCCAAATTGTCTGAAGGGGCTTTTGGAACGGTAAATACTTTACTTCTTTTAGTGTTTAAAAAATTAAATATAAATCAATAGTCAAAATGTTCAGAGAGCCCAAAAAAACATGTTTAGAAACCTTAAGCTTTTAATGTTTCAAATTAAAAATAAGTTTTCATTAATATTATGAGATCAATTTCTTTGTATGATCATTCTATGAATTTCAAACTTATAAAATATGTTCGGCAGTTTATTTAACCACTTTTAACAAAAAAATCTACCTCTGCATCCGAACTAAATCGGCGCCCTTTTGGGTAACTGTTTTAGTGGACCAAACACGTGCTAATCACAGGGTGATAAGTCTGGATTATAGGCGGATGTTATTAAACTTTCCACCTTATATAACCAATCAAATATTATATTTTGACTTGCCAGGGTAACACTAGGTAACCTTGAAAAATCAACATCAAAGAAGAACTTTAGAATGACCAGGAAAAACAACTGCAGATGAAACTGTACAATATGTAGAAACCTAGGTCAACTACCTAAAGACCTAAGTGCTGTGGGACTTGACTCTCCAGATACAGATTGAATTGTGCGACTTACATGTGATCTTACATTGCCATGCAGAAGAATGACAACAGTTGTAAAGCTTTTAAAGACGAATAGTCGTAATGCTGATACGTAAGCATTTTAAGGTATCTGGTTTTCTAAAATCTTTCAGCAATAAAGCCTTGTAATAAAAGGATACAGCCACAATTACTTTTCCTAAAGTAGATTGGAACAGTTTTCGGTTTTCCGGATTTCGAATGCTTCTGATGTTTTTAGAACACCAAGACTTATTATTGATGACAATTTGGTGCAAAAAGAATCACATTCTTGTACATAGTGCATTACATGCAATAATGATAGGCTTCTGGTCTTCGAAACCCACTTAGCAATCTTCTGATTACGAAGACTATGAGTATGGAGTGAACAGTTTCCACGATAATACTTAGCGCTTTTCTATCGACTTTTCACACTAATTGTACGATACTACAATCAGATTTTTCGGAAAAATATTTGCAATAAATCATGAGAAATCCTATTTGTGATTTAAGATAGCATTAAAATCAAAATTGAATTTTTTATTTTTTTACGTTTAGTCTACTAAGTTTCCAAGATGTAGCGGGTCAAGTTTGGTCATGTGAAGCTTTCGACTTCCTATCTAGAGTCTTCATCAGAATCTATTACAGTCCCTCAGTCACCTAACTTGATAGATCACTTCAGTACTATACTGATAGTCACTGAATACTGCCAATCAGTGACTAAAGGAAACAAATAGAACACATGGGATACAGAGGACTGCGAGTGATAAAAGCTCTACTATATATTGTAGTCAAAATACAGTTTTTTTTTGTATTCAACAAGTTTTTTTGTTTAATCTGTTCATGTTTAATCATGTGATCTCTTTAGGTTTATATTGCTGAAGCAGACGGAATAAACGAATTTTCTTCAAACATGTCTACCGAAACCAGATTAGTAGCTATCAAGTTTTTGGGAGAAACAGCTACGGATAAGGAAAGGTGAGGCAATTTTAAGTGTTAAATGTTAAAACATAGTATAATTTTGATCTAAAACCTATTATAAACTAGGTATACCTAAAAGTATATTTGATGAAAATAAAAACATGTTTAAACTATGATTTTTGTCGTTTTACTGCTTTGATAGCTAAAACGCCTTGTATTATCATTGTTTATTGTCTTCTTCAAAGTTAAAAAGTTTCTTGAAGATAATTTATATTGTTTTATTGCTGTCCAAACCACTTGGTCTATTACCGAGGCGCCTACAGTTACCACTTAAGCTTTTTTCTTAGATATTATCTCTATTATTCGGCATATGGCTTATTTATATATTTATTTAATCAGTAAACGTATATAGAAACATAAAAACATGCAGTTCAACACGAACGCCATAGAAAGTGCCGCAGCGGAAATTATAGGAAAAGAAAGGAATAACAAGAAGAAAAACCAGTGGTTTGACCAGGAGTGCGAACAAAGCTCGCATCAGAAAGCAATTAAGAGGCTAGAGTTACTAACACGCCCTACAGATGAGAACAGGGAAGACTACAACAGATTAAGGACTCAAACGAGACGACTCTTGAGAAACAGTACCTAAAATCGCGAAAACAGCAACTGGAGGAGAAACATAGAACCGGTCAGTCTAGATAGTTTTATAAGGATCTAAAAACAATGAAGGGCAACACGACAAACAGCCAAAGATTTATAAAAGACGATGCAGGACAATTACTCACAGACGACGAGGAGATAAGCCGCTAATGGAGAAAGTATTTTGAGCAACTCTTAAATACAGAAAAACCCACAACGACAGGTCAACAAAGACAGTACCAGTTAGCCGAACCTGAAATACCAGGGCCCACACTAGCTGAAGTAAAGTCTGCAATTTTGTCCCTAAAAACCATAAAGCCTCAGGCCCATACGGCATACAGGTGGAACTACTGAAAAAGGGGGAGAAAAGGTCTACCTTGAGATATATCATCTTATTTATAAGTGAAGTCTGGGAAAGAGAAGAAATACCAAAACACTGACATAAGAGCCATATAGTTCCTATCCAAAAGAAGGGAGACAAACAAATATGTTGGAACTATAGAGGAATATTGTTATTCAATAAAACGTACAAAATTATATCCATAATACTGTCTAAAAGACTAACTCCATACGCAGAGGAAATAATAGGCGACTGCCAAAGAGGATTCAGACCGAGAAGGTCGACCATAGACCAGATATTCGCCCTACGCCAGGTGCTGGAAAAAAACTGGGAATTCAATCGCGATGTACACCAAATCTTCGTAGACTTTAAATAAGCTTACGATTATGTTAGCAGAGAAGCATTGTGGGAGACCATGGTAGAAATGGGAGTACCTAGAAAGCTGGTACGATTAGCACAGGTGAGCATAGAGAACGCTTCCGCACGGATCAGAATTGGCAGCACCACGTCGGAGGAATTCCTCATTGACACCGGGCTTATGCAAGTAGATCCTCTCGTCTCCCTGCTATTTAATTTTGCACTGGAACATGCGGTAAGAAAAGCTCAACCACAACTGACAAACTGATTTGCCGCCCAAGGATCAAAAATACTATTGGCGTTGGCGGATGATGTGGACACAATTGCACAATCCACCAGATATGCAAAAGAAGTTTTCTCCTTATTCGAAAACGGAGCCAAGGAAGTCTGAAGTTCAACGAGAACAAGACCAAGTACATGATGGTTACGAAGAACCCAAGGTCAAGGGTTAGACAAAACCTAACAATCAATGAATACAACTTTGAAGTCGTCAAAGAATTTAAGTACCTGGGAGCGATCAGAACATCTGAAAATAAATATGAAAAGAAGGTGGCAGCCAGGATCATTGCAGAAAACAGGGTATATTACTCATTAATGACCGTACTTAAATCAAAAATACTGTCAATACCAGCTAAAATAAGGGTGTATAAGACAATAATTCGTCTTACAATAACGTATGAAAGCGAGACATGGACTCTGAACCAGCGAGAAACGACAAAATTACCAGTACTGGAAAGAAAGATACTGCGGACTATCTATGGGCCTTGCGGAGAAGAGACAACGGGAGAATGGAGAAGAAGACACAATGATGAACTCCAGACAGTAAATGGAGATGAAAACATAGTATGCTACATTAAAGCAAACCGAATAAGATGGGCGGGCCACGTGCTAAGATCGAGTTACGAAAGACTCCTGGATCCACATTCCAGGCCCTATGGTAAAAGGTCAGTTGGTCGCCCAAGAAAGAGATGGAAGGACGCAGTAACCAGCAATGAGAAATAGCTGCTCAGGACCAACAACAATGGATGGAAATGGTAAACGTGGGCAACATTCACATAGAGTTGTAGAGCCAAATGATGATGATGATGAAATTGTTATTTGACAATATTTTGTTCCATTTAATATTTTGATTTACCCGGTCAAAGAATTTCTCGAAGTCAATTAAAGACGAGAACGATATTTTTATATTTACATTTCTATATTTTTTAACCATTACTTACAAACAGTCCGTTGAAATATTTACTGTTTTTTATATATTGTTGAAGAGTTTCTACGTCTAGGAGTACCGTCTTACAACTAGTTTTATGTCATTTAAGCTTGTTTTTGATGCAGTTATTAAATTTTTCATTTGAGGCTGTAGATATCAAAAAGTGTTGTGTAGGTATTTTAGAAGTTTTAATTGTTTGACTAATTATTTTGCAGGAAAGACTTCTACCGAGATGTCCGAATACTAGCAGCCTTAGAAGACCCAAACATAGCTAGAGTTCTCGGCGTCTGCAGTCAAGATGAACCGCTGTGCGTCATTATGGAGTATCTCGATCACGGAGACCTCTGTCAGTTCTTGAGAACACATGTGGCCGCCTCCAACACTTCCACGCTGCCGTATGGACTCAAGTCGCTGTCGTTCGATTGCCTTCTCTACATGGGAGTTCAAGTCGCCTCTGGGATGCATTATTTAGAAACTTTAAATTTCGTTCACAGAGACTTGGCGACGAGAAACTGTTTGATAGGAAAGGGGTACCAGATTAAAATTTGTGACTTCGGTACATACAACGAACTTTACATTAGTGATTATTATAAGGTGGATGGTAATACGCCGTTGCCGATTAGATGGATGGCCTGGGAGAGTGTTTATCAGACTAGGTAAGTACTACTCGAAAAATTAACGAAATTTGATGTAGATTTATTGACGAGATGGAGACAACAGAATTATATATATAATAACGAATTGATTACGGCTGTCACCGTTTCTCCGCCCCCAATTTTCTTCTCCCCAACTTATCCGTGGTCGTCCTCTCTTTCTTCTTTCAGGAGGGATCCATTCTAGTACTCTTCTAAGCCATCTGTACTCTAGCATTCTTTTAACATGTCCGAAGAACAAAATTAAAACCTTTTAAATATATCCAAAGACAGATATAGGACCTATTATAGTGCTTTTTTCTTGCGACTTCTCACAAAATCGTCGTTGTGTGATTAATACAGTCATAACTGTAAAATTATTTTAAAGTCTTTAAAATTTTACCATAACACATAAATTAATGTGGAAATGTAATATCGAAATATTAATAATAACTAATAAATAATAATTAAGACAAAGAACTGTTATTAAATTAACTTTAAAAAACATGTACCTAAATAATGACTTTCAATTGATTTATTGGCTAACTACTTATAAAAATATAAATATTTTCCAAAGTAAACCTTACTTTCATAATATATTTGTTTGTGAGGAAAATTACTTCTCTTCATATATTTCAGATTTCTTGTATCGATAAGAGTAGGTCACAATATTATTGGACCCAAGATCACATCAAAAGGTATTCTACAGGGAGCTGTTTTAAGTCCATTTCTTTTTAATTTGTACACATACGATTTGCACAATTTCCAATATTGTTTGCTTACAATATGCTGATGATATTGTCATCTATTCACATAAGAAAACGTACAGTGAAAGCACTACTGAACTGAAACATATTATGTACAACTTGGATAATTGGACTTGGTTAAATGGATTCAATATTTCGTACCAAAAATGTGCCATAGTATTTTTTTCAAGAAAACACCATATTAAACATCACGCTGTAAGTTTAAATGGCAATGATATTCCAATTGTTTCGGAATTTAGATATCTTGGTGTCATACTTGACAGAAAACTGCTTTGGACTCAACATATTAATTATACAATTGGTAGCTGCGAAAAAGGTATTAATTTTCTTAAAATGGTGTGTAAGAGATCGTGGGATGCAAATCAAAACATTGCATTGAATCTTTATCGAGCCTATATAAGATCTATAATAGATTACTGTTGTGTGGTATATGGGTCAGCTAGCCTAACCAATTTGCGTAAACTTGATAGAATTCAATTTAAAACTCTAAGGATTGTGTTAGGATTGATGAAAAGCACTCCAAATGAAGCCACCCTAGCTCTAGCATCTGAAAATCCACTCTCATTACGCAGAGAATATCTGGCAAGCAAATATTTCCTAAACCAACATTATCGTGGCACTTATAATACAAAAATAATTAATAAATTAAATACAGCTGATTTAACATCTACATACTTCGTTAAAAAAAACTCTCCACCACTTGCAAGAGCAATTATAACTTGCAACGAACTGAAGTTAATAAATTCCCCTTGTAATCTTATCTGGGAATCGTTGGAAATACCACATCTAACAAGTGTTCTAGCTACAAATATTATTATCCCAAAATACCAAAACGAATTTTGCTACACTACTCTTAAAGAAATCTTAAGTGGCTATTCAGATCATATTCTGATCTATACAGACGGGTCAAAATCACCAACATTTACAACCAGTGCTTACTTTGTACCAAAAATGAAGATTAAAAAATCATTTATTTTAAATAATCAATCCAGCATTTTTTGGGCACTGCTGAAGCGTGTGCTATATACAAAGCCCTTGAATTGTGCTGTGAAAACCAGTGGAACAAAATTGTCATATGCAGTGATTCACTGTCAGTATTGCACTCCTTGCAAAACTTTAAATTCACAATCAATAGCAATATATTCATATTAGAAATTTTTCAACAGTTACTAAAACTATCAGATCCATATGGTACTAAATTTCTATGGGTCAAGGGACACTCAGATATTGTTGGCAATACTATTGCTGATTCTATAGCTAAAAATCCATTACAGCACCCACATATGGTGATAGAAGAATTTAACACATGTGACCTACTTGCCTATATCCAACAACATATTAAATTTAAATGGGACAGACAATGGATTCAGTTTGGTGAAAGCAGGGGCACTAATTTATACAAATTACAACCCACAGTAGATGTAAAACAATTTTACAAAGATGTTACATTAAGCAGAAACACAGTGTCGACTGTCTTAAGATTAAAAGTAGATCATGGATGTTTTCCGAAACATCTACACAAAATAGGAGTTCTCCCAAAAGAGGGATTAAGTACACCATTAAACGTAAATCTCCTATTAAGTGAAGACAATATAAAAATCTTTAAAATAATTATGATATTTCTTGTAAAAATTAAATTAAAGGTATGAGTGTAAAATTGATCGTATGCTTGAACATTTCCTTTGTATGTTTACCATATATGTTGCCCACCTACCTAACCGTGGTTTATGTCTTGTTTGTTACAATAAAGCCGCCCTGAGCGTGAAAAGTGTCCTCCTTGTACAATCCTGTATGAATGAATACTAATATTTATATGTAATTACGTGGCTAAAGGTTTCAAGCTAAAGCCAATAAAAAAAAATTTCAGATTTCTTCCGATATTTTAACCTTCATCGAACGGGCCTCAACATATTACACAAAAGACGGGTCTGAACGGACCCCATTCTTAAATGGGCGAACTAAAGTAGAGACACCATTATTTGACGCTTTAAGGCCATAGTGATACATTTTCTGATATTAAAACGTTAATTTTACTCAGATTTTTTGTGTTCTATTAGGCAAAATATATGATTAAGTTTACTAATTGTACGTGTGAAATGAGATTTGATTTAAATAAAACTTGCCAAAAAATATTTATTTTTAATTACAAGTTTTATCCCCAATACCTGGCATTGCAAATTTTGCAGAATCCAAAAAAATACCCAATACCTGATATATTAAAAAAGGTATTTAAATAAAAAAAAATTAACTTATTTACCACACGATCAAATCAACAAGTCAAACACTCTTTGCGATACACAACTACGGCACTGGAAAACAGCAAACTGGCCGTTTCTATGGTAACACTAGTAAACAAGAACCACTGCGCATGGTCGATTTATGAGTCATATTCCCAAACTAAACTTTGTCGGAGTCTACCATAGATAAATAATATTAGGCATGCAACATTATGCATTCTAAAAACATCCCAACACTGTCAAACCGAAATATTTTAATTCTTGGTTGACATTTGCGGCTATAGGTATTCAGCTTGTACTTTCGATAAACACAACCGTTATTATTTCTTCCTTATCTGTATATGTCATCAGTGTTTCGGTATTTTTTTTTAATTCTATAATATTTTAAGAGCCTCGAACGAACAGACGGACAAATCTGTCTCTCTGCCTGTAATACCCTTGCCTCTTTACCCAATAACTTAAGATCTTAATGTAATAAAATAAAATGATTTAATTGTTTCTATTGTTGCATTTGCAATATTAATGTAAATTATACTTTTGTAGGTACACAACGAAAAGTGACGTTTGGGCATTCGCCGTGACACTATGGGAAATCCTAACGCTTTGTCGCCGACAGCCGTACGAATTCCTCACCGATCCCGAGGTGATGGAGAACTTAGCACGCTTACACTGTGATGATGGGCAATTCAAATACCTACCTCGTCCTACGACCCACAAGGATATATACGATTTAATGTTAGAATGTTGGAGGAGGAAAGATTCTGATAGGCCTACGTTTAGAGAAATACACTTATTCTTGCAAAGAAAAAATTTAGGATATGCTCCTACATAGTACTTAGGAAGACTGGTTAGATGATAAAAGGGAACAATGTTGTAAATAGAACACAGGGTGATAAACTATACTGTACTTTATTATTTATAGATACGTCTAATGTTTATTTTAGATGAAAAATCATATAGATATATGATGTAGAAATATTTACGTACTTTTAAGTCAGTCCAGAACATGCTTTAAGAAATATGCGTACCTACCATTAGAATCCAGGAAACTAAAATAAATTAAAAATTCAAGCTATATTTTTTTAACATTTTTATTTTGTTTAATTTACATGCTTCGCTGTACTGTAATTTTTTCAGATGGTAAATAAAAAAGCAACCGTAGGACGCAGCAAAGTATTTATTAAAAACCATTCGGTAATGGTAAATTACATTTGTCATTGAATATTTTGGTATCAGACATATTTTCAACTGTTCATTTAATATTCCAATTGATCAAGCTACCATAATGTATGCTCACTGCCGTTCAGCTACCGTTACATTAGATGTGGCAACACTGTCAAGCTGTCAAATAGAGGGCCTATTTGTAGATATATTACTGGACCTATATCGAGAACCGAGAAGAATACAATTTAAAAGAGTTTTATTTTACTACTTTACTAGACATCTAGCCAATTAAAAAAGTTTTCTAAAATCAAATTAAAATTGTTGTCATCAAATGGTTTAAAAAAAATGGCTTATCTCTAAACGACTCTCTCTCTCTCTCTCTCTCTCTCTCTCTCTCTCTCTCTCTCTCTCTCTCTCTCTCGGTCTTTTTCTTGGAAAAGTTTTTAACACACCATCAGCAGAATGCATATATAAATACAAACAGATCTTTTCAAAAGCCTTCTACTCACTGTTGTCAAATTTCCATGCCCTGATGATTACGACGGCCATGGTGTGCCCCATGTGTTGTGATACCTACCTTGTATTAATAATTTTTTCATTATTGATCTATCTTGGACTCTGCTCTGCTCCAAAAGATTTGAATAAACTTGATCTAAATGGCTGTGAAAGTAACGGATCTTACATTGTTCTATCTAAGATCAATCAAATATTCCTTCTTTCAATTTTTCCATATTTGGAGGACATTTATTTGCAAAGTATCCAAAACAAAGCCAATTTGGTCTAAAGTTTTCCCAAAATGTTCCCATAAACACAGAAATATAGAATATGTTCTATGAAATCCTTCCCCTTCCACTAACAGTTCTCATATATAAGTCATTTCGTGTTTGGTTTTGTGAATTATTATCACTTATGTATTCTATTTATATTAAGTAAAACTTCTCTAAGTTCCACTTAAAAAAAAATTGTTTATAATATCACAAATAAATTTTTATCATTTTGATGAAATGGCTAGAAACTTTTAAACACAATTCAACATCACACTTTATCATTTAATTATTCCCGGAAGTTCTTGAAAGCCCATAATGATAATATAAGTCTTAAAAAACCTTCCTTATAGCCAAAATTTCTCAACAAAATCGTAATTTTTATATATTCTTTTGTACTTTAGCTTGTCTACATCATCCCATGTGTATATCAGCAGCAATTTCATCATTTACTTCATTTTCATACCCAATTTCCTCACCAATACGTCTTTAGTTACTTGCAGTTAAAACTGCTGGACATAAATTGTTTTACTGGTTGGTGGCATATATAAACACCACTTACACTATAACTTGGCAGAGACATGTAACACTTTAAAAGTCTTTAGGTGTGATCATTGTAATCTATAGTGACTAATATAGTCACTCTCGAAAGTGGAAAGTGGACTATAGTTACCACTTAGCGTTAATATACAACAATTTATTAATGACGCTGGCTGTTTCCTTTACTAGAGTATTTCTGTGTGTTGATATTTCGCTCTGTGTTCCAAAGACTTAGAAAAAAACCAGAATTTTTTGTCCACTTAGCAAAGTCTACTTGACCCCAATGCCAAGGAAATACATTTGAAAAAATTTCTGCAAAAAGATTTTTGTATTTAGGTGTAGGAACAAGCAACTTTGAAGACCATTTTTAAAAGTTTAAATGTCTAATAAGGTTATTTAGTTCTTCCTACATATACCGTCCTAGTAACTTCGATACCCTTTAGCCTGTTGTCGTGTTTCTCAGAACAAATTTTACCATAATCCTCTGATAATGTAGGTGGCTTACACAAGGTTGGAGCCAGTGTTTCTTTTGAATATGTAATTGGTTTCTTGCATTTGAAACTGCTAGATAAATATCATTTTCCTGAGTTGTTGCCCCTATAAATGAGACTTAAACTGTTGGTTGGTGAGGGAACTTAAAGTGATTGCTGTTGAAAGCTTGTGTGAATTTCATAATTCCACAGAGGTGAAAATGGTATAATACACCTTACGAACTTAGTCTCTATGGAAAGTGGTATCAATAGTTGCTACTAAATGATAAAGGGTTAATATGCAAGGGATTAAAAATTGTTTTTTCTTGATCTACTAATGATTGGAAGCATATTTTTTTAACTTACAAAGTATTTATTATTTTAATATGTATTCGGCACATAAATAATCAAGAATATCTGAATTATTAGTAAATTGAAATGTCACTTGTGACATTTGCTTGTGAAACCTGTTTATTGTGTAAACACTTAAGAGCCTTTATTCATGGAAAACCGTTGGGCAATTAAAAGAAATTGAATAAAGGTTTCTGAAACTATTTTTTCTGGCATGGTTAAGTTAAATATTAAGTTTTTTATATTGGGTGTGGCTTAGTCCAATACTTGTGGCTTGTACAACCAATAGTTGTGGCCTAATCCCATAAAAAACATAATATTTAATTTAAATGGAATATAAAGTTTCTTGACTAGAAGCATTAGATAAGTAATAAAAAAACATTGATAAATGATTAGACAATTCCACAGACAATACAGTATGTTCCGAAGTTTAATAGAATGAACATTTATGAAATCTTTAATTTTTGTTTATCCCAAAACCTAGTGCTGATGGATCACTATGCATCTTTTTTTAAATAAGATCACTTTTTGTTGAATAAAGAATGCTTTTGAACTAAAATTTTATAAGTATGGTACACTAAAGACAAACCAAATTATAATTTAGCTGTGTTTGATGAACTACTTTGGTTTATTTGATTTAAATTAGTATATTTCTTGAGCAAGTTGGGTCTGACTTACATTATATATTTACGAAAAGTTGTGTTTATTGAAAAGATTTATATTTTCAAAGATTCTAGTATGAAAATGTTTATTTTTACGACGAAAATTTCCAGTGGAGGTATTTTTAATACAGTAAAAACTCTTTGAAGTTAATTCAGTAAAAATGTGTTTATATGTGATAAAGTTTTTTGAATTTTTGTCGCTTATCAAGGTATCTTTTACAACTTCAACATTATTTCATTGATGCAGACATAATATACTATAATAATACTATAATTTACTCGGGTTAGTATATAGAATTTTCTTACCTTCGCATATTTAGGCTCTGGCTAATGATACGCCCTTCAGTTCCTCTGGAAATCGGATTTTTTCAGTACCCGACACTTATACGGAACTATAACCCGTCGAAATATAACAATCGCGCGTAATCCGCACCTGGTGCCGACTCTTGTATTAACAACCCTGCCCGAAGACACGTTTAACAAGGTTGCGTTTTCGCTGAGTTAGTAATTCTATGCTTCATTTGGGTCACAAGCGGTGTTATCTTTACAACAACAGTTTCTGTTATACGTGCTTTTTCTACGTTTAAACAATTATCAAATAATGCACTAACTAGGTCAATTTCTTTGTGTAATTTAAAATGTATACTTTACTGAATTAATTATCCTTTATTTGATTTGGAATATATAATAATCATTAAAATCATTATTATTCTCCCCTATGCTACTAACTTTTATTTTAATTCTTCACTTTCTTGCTATGTTTACATTACAATGCGATGTTGTCTGAAGGTGAGGGACCGGTCCAGAGTTACTCCAAGATTTATAGTAATGTATAACCATTTCACGCACTTTGGAGTTTTCGCTTGGCTTCCTTTGCGCGAAGGTGAAAAGCGCAGATTGGGTTTTAGAGGGATTGGATTTCAGGGAATTCTGCAGATAGTACGGTGTCATTGTTTTTAACCCAGATTCGAGTATCTTCTCCACTTCTTCAAAACTATTTCCTTGAGCACATATTGCAAGATCGTCAGCAAAGAGGAAGTGCTTGGTTTCGGTTGGCGTAGGTTGGTCGTTTGTGTATATATTGAAAAGCATTGGTGCTAAAACACTTCCCTGTGGTAGGCCGTTTTTTTTAATTATCCACCTACTTACTCCTCCAGCACAACGAAAAAACGTCTGGTTTGAGGTAAGGAATATACGACTTTCCGCAGATGGTTATCATTAAAAGTGTCGTTACTTATGCTAATAATAATAAATAAACCTAAATATTAGATTTGAAAAAGCAAAATTTTCCAATGAACACAATTTTTTGTTACCTTGTAGAAATTTTGGAACACTTCCCGTTACATGAGAATGTATTTATACGTGCAATATAATTAGATATCTATAGTTGTTACATGGTGGGAACGGTTACATAGACGTCAATACACCACCAGACTTTTTTAACCATTAATATTAATAACAAGTGAGGTAACATAGATCTTACTATATTAGTTATTTCAATACTACAAAACCCGTTTTAAAAACGATCTTAGACATTTCATATCTCAAAATTTTATACCATTTGTTAACCGTTTGGTTAATTTTATACCACTGTAACAATTAGCAATTAATGAATGGTAAAGTTACCGTTTGTAAATCCACTTTCTTCTACATTTAGAAGGAAATAGGAAACTCTGAGACCTGTCAGAAATAAGATCATTTAGATAAGTAAGAGTACATAACATATATAGAAGCCAAAGTATGTTTCATTCGTTTCATTTTGGATAAGTATTAGCAGAAGTCACGTTTGGATGTTAATACAGCTATTTAAAAAGAAAACTTAGGCGTTTTATTTTTGAGAATCAGAAACTGGACATAAATATTTTTTGGTAATTAGAAACT